TTCACTCTTCATTATATCTGTAAGAGTTAAGAAGATTCTTGTGAATATAAAGATAAATTATCTATAGAAATTCACAAAGCTCAGAAAGATCTGAATCTTATAAATACTGATTAACTCTGATTATGATAGAATAGTCTTAATCTATGAAGATTTTATCTGAATATTATCTGCAGTAATTATATATTCTAGAAAATTAATCTAACAGACACTGAAGTTGTACTTTATAAGCTTAATATACAGTTCTGTCTTATCTAGAATCTTTAACACACTTTGTACATTCTTAGTATGTTCTTTCTTCTTTATAGAGTACATTATCACATTATTGAGATATATTATTACAAAGACATTCAGATATATATAAAGTATTTTATTAATGAAAGACTGAAATGCTGTAAGAGTATTAATCAAATCAAAAGACATTACTAGATATTCAAATAATCTCAGTGCAGTTCTAAAGACAGTCTTTCATTCATCTTCAGACTGTATTCACAGCTATGTATATATATTAATTATATTCAGTTATGTGAATATGACAGCTTCTGTGAGACAGTTAATTATATTCTCAATCAGAGATAGAAAATAGTGACTATTATCTTGAAGTTCAGATTATAGTAGTTTATACATAATCTGAGATCTTTATTCTTTTTCTTTATAAATATCACAGAAGCTTTCACAGAGATCTGTGAAGATTAAATGAAGTTATTCTTTAAATTCTTCTTTATATAGGTCTGCAAGACCTCTGTCTTATAATAAAAGAGCTTATAGATTAATTCTCAGAAGAGTTTCTATTCTTCTATTAAATCTATTATCAGATTCTTCTTACAGTGAGAAGAAAGCTTAGCTATCTTTACTGAGCTGAATATCTCTGTAAGATCTCAGTATTTGTCTGATATATGAAGCTCAGTTTTCATAACTGTAAAGTTCTCAGATATTTACAAAGTTATTATATAGATAAGCTTGTCTTCTCTAATTAACTCTACAGCATTAACTGATTCTATCTTTATAAGTAAGTCTGTCAACACTGATCAGAAGTATAAACCTGACTTATGAACAGCTATGTGTGAATTATGTCTTTGAAGTCATGTAAGTCTTAAATACATGTTATCTGTGATATTAGTAATAATTATAGTTTTTATAAATCTTCTTCAGATTCTGAAGAGATCTTATAATTTAAATATAATTCTTATAAGTCTCTCAGCTTTCAGATCTGAGTTCTCACACTCTGCTTATTATAAGAGCAGGTTTTCAGTTTTCATTATTCAGCTTATTCACTCTGTGAGCTTTAGAAATACTACAGTAATCTGAGATTCTAAGTTCATTAATACTTTTCATACTTACAGAGCAGTAGTACTGTAATACAGTCTCTTTCTATGAGTAAGTATTTTTATCAGAGAAGTAACAGATTCAGATATCAGCTTCAAGACTTTTAAGAAAACTGTTACTGACTCTGTCTGTAACTTCTCAAATTTCTATTTTAATTTATTCAGACAGTTTGTACAGAGATATTCTGATGTAGAATAGATGAAGCAGAGACTCTTTTTCTTAGTCTCTCTATTATACACTCTGTTCACAGAAGCTTGTGAAGCTCTCTCTCTCTGCTTAGTAGTCAGATACAAATCTCTCTATATCTTATTATCTTTTTCTAATAAATCTGTTCTCTATTATTCTGATTCTTGTGAGACTGATTAATGATCTGCTCTCTGCAGATCTGTGACTCTCACAGTGAGCTGTAAGTGATGAATGAGAGTTATCAGTTTCTTCAGAGTCAAGAGCTTAGAGTTTTACTCAATGAGTTTATTCTACATGTCTTCATTCAGTCTCTTTATAAACATTATTATTCAGATCTTATTTCAGGACTCTGTTTTCACAGATCTTAATTTATATTATAATTTCATGAAATGCTGTGAGTAGTCTTTATCAGATTTCTCATCTCTTTTTCTAATATTGATAATCACAGTTCAGATGTTCTCTGTTTAACTCACAAAGTCTCTTAACTTATTTTCTAGATAGATCTTGAGAACAGATCAGTGAAATCTCTTATAATCATTCTCTAAATAATTTAGTCAGTTCTTGACTTCAGTGTAGTAGAGATCTGTTATTATATAGATAACAGCTTCTTCATCTTTTATATTACATAGTTAGGCTTATGAGTCAATTTCAAATACAAACTCATAAAAGCTTTTATAGATTGTAATTCAGTAAGTAATCTTAAGTAATCATAGCTTAAGAAAGTTTCTTTTCAGTTTATAAGTATCTCTGAAGATCATGTCTAGAGACTCAGTTTGAGAGTGTTTACAGATAGTAAGCATTTCTTATAGAAAAATAGCTTGATCTCACAGAAGATGCTTAATAATGTTCTTCACTAAGATTGATTTATTCATCAGTTCAGAGAGTTTCTCTGTCACAGATATAGAGAATAATATTCTGAGTGATTGATAAGTTCTCTAAGACTTCATTTATAAGAATAATTTATAATTTAGATGACTGCTTCTGAGTGTCTGTAGTAGAGTTCACAGAGATTGAAGTATATAAGTTTCTAGTTCTTTCAGTTATAATAGACAGTTGCTGACTGACTGAGCTTGAAATGTCAGAATAAGTGCTCACAGGTGATTATTCAGGTTTTTGCAGCTTGATGTGATATATACTATTAACTACTAGAAGTATTTATAATAGAAAGATAAAATGTAGAGATTAAATATATAATAGTATTCAAGCTGAGTTATGAATAGTATTTGTGAACTTCAGTCTATATAGTTGTGTGTAGTCAAGGGCCGCTAACTCTATTGATTACGTGAGAGATAGGAATAGAGGTAAAGAATCCGCAAGAAGCGGGATTTCTTACAGACATCTGAGATTACTTCTTTATGAGAATATTATCTGATTTAACTGTTCTGTAACTCTCAGCAGTAAAGCTGAGAATATCATTCTTCAAGAGACTGAATTTTGTTCTATTGATACAAACTCATAGCAGACTTAGATTATTTAAACTTTCATTAACTATTCTGATATCTTTATCAGTATACATCTGATTTCACCTAATAAACTTGTATTCTATGATATGTTATATTTTTTATTAAACAAGGTCATTGATATAGATGAAAAGATCATATCTTAATACATTTGAAAGATTATTGTCTTTATTGACAGTTATGTCAAGATTTAATAAGCAGTGTAATATTTTCAATTAATACTTCTTCAGATCTGTCAGAATAACAGGCAGAATGTTAATAATACTAACACCTCTTTTATTAATAATATTATTCAGTATTTCACATCTCAAGTATCTGAAGTGGATCAGAATATTCACTTTGAGAAGTTCATAAAATCAATATTGAAAATACAAATCATGATGATAATAATCTCACTGAGTATGAGTATAAATATTTCAGATGTCAAGTGTACTGTTTTATGAGGATTTTCTATTAAGAGACATGATATCATGAATGTTGAACAATGATGTGAGTGAGAAGGTCATGAATCAGATTAAAAAAGTCATGTCTTGATTCTTCTTCTCTACTGAGTATTTGACTCTGTAGATTATGAAAAGAAAGCTGTTCAATCTTCTCAACTATCAGTGAAACAAAGATCTCAGCAAAGAACTTAATATCAGATCAGTCAGCTATCACAGTTTATAATCTTAAAGAACATATCTGATGCTGAAAGTATTGCATCAAATATAACAAGTCAGAGTCAAAGTCAATGTAGAATAATCACTGTGAAGACATGAACAGAGAGTGAAATGCAAAGATAAGTCAATCTCTTCACTGACTGAAAGAGAATTATCAATAATTCATATCACTGAAAAGCTCTTCTGATCTATCTTGAGAAGGATTGACTCTTATTTAATATGAATAGAATAAACACTTCTGTGAAGAAATGCTGCAGCAGGTGCAATTCAAGCTGTATATCTGTATTCAAACAGTCATTCACTACAAACATCATCAAGGCATCTCAAGGCAATAGTCACAGTGCCATTCTGCTGTCAGAACTTAAGAACTAATGTATCAAATATGTGAAGAAACAGTATTATTATAATCAAGACTTTTCAGTATCAGCTTCACAATTTATATCTACTCAATGTCAGTGACAGATAGCTGCTCTTTTTCATCAGAAGATATCTACCTTTGAATTCAATTGAAATGAATTGTATGATACTGTCAATCTTCTTCAGACTTAAAGCTATTGAGATGAATTTGAAGATCAGCTTCACAGCTTTCTGTTAAGTCAAATTACAGCTGTAAATAAAGTGTATGAAGCTATTCTCATAGTGTGATTCAAAGGTTGCTTGAGCCAGCGTACGATTACAGGCGTACGCTGGCTTCTTATATATCGTATGCTAAATTAATTAGTGGCCGCTATGGCCCCTTTACACTCATAAGCAAGTTCAGAAGTGGCCGCGTTATTATCCAATGATCATACATTCTTCCAAACCACATCCTCTCTCACCAGATTCAGTCACGCTCACATGACCATGTCATACACCCTAGCTTCATGCGGATTAGCTCACCACTAGCATTTCGCGATTATGTGATCTATTTCTGATTCAGCTAGCATTCTCTGTACACCCTCACAAAGAAACTTTCACTATATTACATCTCTCATTCACTAACTTTTCTCATTCTCCAACCATCTTCTTCATCATCGTCATCATCGAACGCCATCATTATCTCATTTCTACCTCTTCTTCTGTTCAACTCTTTCTATCTGTTCATCTATCACATTGTACGCGTTCCTGGCAATGGCCCTCTGTTTCCACAATAAGTGTCATCATAGTGCTCATACTGGGCAGTTTGTTAGCAGTAAGTGTAACACATTGTGAAACATAATCAGAACTTGTTTATCTTCTAACAATCACTACAATGTATTATTATGAATGACACATCTTCTTCATCTTCTTATATACTCTTAACTGTTTTTCTTCTCAGTGAGTTTCTGATCATGTTTTCTGGCATGATTTTGCATGAATACAGATACTGATATATTTGTTTTTATTTGTATAGAATCTTCACATGTTGACAGATCTGTATCTGCTGATGATAGTGAACTCAATGTTGAATTATTGATCAAGAACTTAGAGAACATGATAATGAAGAAATTGTCTATATCATGTGTAACTGAGTCTTCTACACTCTCTTCTGCCTCTTCTGCTGCTTCTTTCTCTGCTGCTTCCTCTCAATCTTCTACACTTGTCTCTGTGTCTGGTTCTCTCACTTCTGCTACTCCTGTTCCCGCAACCTCTACTCCTGCTACTTCTGCTCTTACTACTGCCTTCATTACTAGCTCTCTTTATTTCAAGAAGATGTTATATAGGCTCAGTGAATTACATTTCTCAGTATATATACTCTCACTCTTTTTACTAATCTCTAGAACAATTTATTGTATGAAGACAGTGTATAACATGACTATCTGAAGCTCAGTCATAGACACTGATTATTATATTCATTTTAAATATTCATGATGAGATAATTATTTATTCATATCAGAGAATCACTCTCTCTCTCAACAGTGTTAAGATTGTAAGTCTTTTTCTTTTTATCTTTTCTTTCTAATGCTGATTTTTCTATTCTTAGAGAAAATTATTATAGATTTTATTATACACAAAGTTATAATATTCATAGATATCAAGAAACTTTTCATAACTGTTAAATTCAATATTACAGATATATCTGCTCTAGTGAATATCTTCAGAATAATTAATCTGTATTAATCTATTCTCTGATGTTTATTATCTGACTTCATGATACAGATGAAGAATATCTGTGTTTTCAGAAATAGAAACACAGATATCATACTCTTTTACACTCATGAGTGTGAGACTTGTATATCTTGTCTGAGATATTATTATGAAAATGAGTTATTCATATACTATGTTCTACTTTCTGTATTTCTCTATATTCTTCTCTCTCTTTCTGAGAAGTCTTATATATATTGTAATTATATGTATAATTCTAAGATCAGCAGATGTTTATTCAGTAATTATTATTTCTACTTTTACAGTTTTATACACTAATAATAGTTCTTAATTACTCTGATATCAGAGATCATTTTAATTAAAGATAATAATACTACTGAGACTATTCTCTTTTACTTTTAAGCTTTTTCTATCACTTTCTCTTTCTTCTCTGCAGGAAAGATTGTGCATATACTGAGTTATAAGTGTTCAGCTCTGAGTGACTTCTGTTATTTATTCAGTTCTATGTCTTTCTCTTCTGTTTCTTCTGTCTCTGTCTCTTCTACTCTAGCTTCTGATTCTGCAGGTTCTGCACTCTTCTTCAATTTTTCTATATGTACATGTATGCATTTCTATATTAGTATTTCAGTCAATCTTGTGATAAATGACATTAATGTTATACACAGAGTGATAGAGAAATCAGAGATATGTACAGTGTTATTATAAGAGTGACTTACAGCTCTCAAATTTCTTATAGATCTTGAGTTTTGAGATTTTCTTTATTTTTGATATTTTTCAGATAATGTGACATTGAAAATAGATTAAACATGTAATGTATGAAAATGAATGAGATATATATAATAATATTTATCTTTTACAGCTGACTCTTACAGTTAGTAATCAATTCATTATCTCTTTTCTTTTCTTACACTTTTTCTTTATCTGCTAGTCACTACTCTTACACAATCTCTATATAGTACAGTGTTCAGTGACTAGATTCAGCAGCTTTCATCTTTTATGATTCTGTCTTATGTATTATACTGTCTCTCTTCACTCACTCAGATCACTATAGTAAACAGCTCATTAAAACTAATCTTATTCAATCTCTGAGTATTCTTAGAGATTAAGATGACTTGATCTCATGCATCTGTGAATATTTCAGATAATTTATTCTCTGTGATCTCTATGATTGAACTGGTATAAACAGTTGAATTTAACTCTGAATCTCTTTTTCTTCTGTAATCTAACTCATGTGCAAGTCTGCTGCTTTGAGATCACTCTTTACTATATTACATCTGCTGTCTGCAGTGTGTTATTATACAACTGACTACAGTCTTATCACTTATTAAAGTATGATATTCACCTGATTTCTTCATTTCTTCTCATTCTTTTCTTATAATTGTGAAAAGATTGAAATAAGTAAGATTATCTAATTTATAAGTGTCTATGATTTCTCTTACTTTATAAGACTTTTCAATTATAAGTTTCTTCTTTTTTAACACTGATGATAGTGCTGTGAATAATTATAATTCACTCAGATCTTGTATCTTTACTTTCACAAGTTATGAATTATTTATTAAGTTATATAAGATCTGTTCCTCTGATTCTTTCAATGCATATGTTTTCAGAGAATGTGATTTGAGTATTTTATATGACTTAAATTATCTAGATTGAAACTTCTCAGAACTCTCATTATATACAAGAACTCATGTTCTCATCTTGAGACTCAATTTCTTAACTAGTGAGTCTCATATTCTTTTCAATTGAATTGCTCAGTTCAGAAGTAACTTGTTAGCTTTTACACATGCATGGCTGATCTCTTTCAATCTTGATTCTGTGTCTGCAACTGCTGTTTCCTCTCTCATCTTTCTCAAAGCATTCTTCAGAATGCGCGGATGCAATCCATACAACAGGTAGAATGGTGAATGCTTGAAGACTGCATGCTGCTGAATTTGCATGGCTAATATCGCCTGACCGAGATATTCATTTCATAATCTCATAGGCTTGCTCACTAGATATTTTGTCAGCATGTTATCTAAGATTTCATTCAAGTGTTTCATCTTCTTATTCATCTGTGAATGATATAGCATTGTTCTACAATGTCTTGTCTGTAACTGGCTTATGAAATGTCTCACTACTTCTTCTACAAGGTTCACACTGTTATTAGTTAGAATCTTGTATAGTATTTCATAGTTGATATAGATCTCATCATGTAGAAACTTCATCATTATCTTCTCTATTATCTCTGAAACTGCTTTCACAACTGGTCAGTCAGTAGTGTAATTAATAGCAGTGATTATTCATCAATTTCTATTTAACATCTGTGATAATATGTCTATAAGGTTCATCTCTCATTATTTGAATAGTTGTATCATACACTCTATCTGATGTTGTACTTTCTCACATTCTAACTCTTTCTTAGATTCTTTCACAACCTGATAATTTGAGCACTTATAAGTGTATATCTGAATATCCTCAGTCATACTTGATCAGTATACTCTTGATTTGAGTACACTCATAAGTTCAGAACTTTCTAAGTAACTGAATTCCTTGTGCATGTGAGTCATCAAGTTGTGTCTAAATAAAGATTCTAGATAGAGAGCTTTCATATATTCTAAATCACAGTAAAGCATAACATTATTTTTCAATTTCCTCAGTTTGAAGTTCAGAAGCATCTCTTCTTCTACTTTTATAAGATGCTTATTATCTGACATCTTATCATTCTTCAAGTGAGAGATTATAATATTCACTCATTCTGATTTCTTGTATCTTCTCAGTATGTTTAATGTGAACATTTCTTATATCTGATTCATAGAATTCTCATTCATGAAATCAGGTCTGTGACTGATTATATCAGGTATTACAGTGTCTGATTTCTTTCAGTATTTAATATGAAAATTATACACTTGAAACTCTGAGATTCAACATGCTAAGTGTTTAAAAGATTTTATCATCAATTATAGATAGATAAGACTTTTATAATCTGTGATTATCATTATCATATACCTGTTGTCAATATATCTATCTCATAATACCAGTGTGTGCTTGATCACTAGTAATTTCTTTTCATACACTGAGTAATTGAGCTCAGCATCTGATAGTTTTCTACTATCATATATCACTGAGTGCAGCTTGCTGTTCTTGCTCATCTGTAGAAGAGTATCTCTGATAGCTCATTTGAATGTATTTATCTCAATATAGAAAGGTTTATTACAATCTGATTGAATAAGCACTGAGAATGTTATTATATGTTTTCTCAGTGTGAGAAAAGCCTCTTTATATACAGTATTTCAGATAATTGAACAAAACTTCTTCTTTCACAGATTTGTATCTATTTCTCTTAAGAGATCTGAGAGTGATATAGATATTTATGTGAAATTCTTGATGAATCTGCAGTAATATAAGATCAACTCAAGAAACTGTCATACATAGTGTACATTTCTCAGCCACAGTTAATTTACTATGACATTCAATTTCTTCAGAATGAGGTGTATACAGTCATCACTTACTACATGTTCTATAAACTTCAACTCTTCTATTTTAAACACACACTTTGTTAATTTGATATAGAGCTTATACTCTGTCAGAGTTATAAGCACTTCATCAAGATACTTCAGATATTCATTATATAAGTTTGAAAAGACTAGAATGTCATTAAGATATACAAGACATAAGATTTCATTCTATTTATGAAGAATCATATTCATCATCATTTGAAAGATGATAGACATATTTATCAGACTGAATAATATTATCAGGAATTCAAACTTCTCTCATTGTGTATTAAATGCAGTTTGTGAAACTGACAGTTTATCTATACAGATCTGTCAGTATTCTGAGAGAAGATTAATCTTTAATAGATATCAGATGTTTTCAACTGTATTCAACTGTTGTTGAATCTGTGACAGTGAATATTCATTCTTAATCATAAGCTTGTTGAGTGCTTGATAATTGATACACATTCATCACTTCTCATCTGCCTTTTTCATGAATAGAACTGAAAAGCCTCACATGCTTGATAAGAATTATATAAGATTATATTCTAGAAGATCTGTGATCTGACACTTCTGTTCTTCAAGGTATATTTGTGATAGAGAATATATATTCTGATTGACTGGTTTTGCATTTCTCATGTCAATCTCATGTATAAATTCTCATTCTGACAGCAGTTTCAGTGAAAGATCTGTTCAGAAGATCTTTTCATACTTCTTCAGAAGCTTCTTTATATACTTGTTCTTCTATATATCTTTTATCTTAGTTTTCTTCACTTCTGAATCCTGTATGATATACAGAATACTTTCAGATAAGATCTTGTAAATTGTTCTCTTTACTTATTAATATGTAAGCAGATTTAACTCTTCTATATTAGAGATATGAAATGTTCTTCTTATATCAGTTAATAGAATTATATGAATCATTCTCTTCTTATCAGTTAACTGCATATAACATGTACATCATTGAATCTGTGAATTGAATCTTTGAAATCAATCAAGTCTGAGAATAAGATTGTATTTCACATTCTGCAGCTCTCACACTCAAATATAGCAAGATCATTCTCTGAAGTATAAGAAAACTCTTACTCTTACAGATGATATCAAATATCAGTTATTAGATAATCTTATACATTGAGAATTCTTCACTCAGCAGACTTCTTTCAGTCTTTGAATTATATAATTATTAATATATTATATAGAAGCTTCTGTGTTCACTAACACTTTTACAGTCATCTCTTGATTCTTACTCAAGTGTCTCTTATACATTAATATTTCAGGTCTCAAGATATTGAGATGAGTATCTGCTTCATTATTCTTGCCTGTATCTCATTCAGAAGCCTGCTTCTTCTTT